GGGGGGGGGGGGGGGGTGTTGAGATGAAAGGGGGAGTGGGGGATGAGAGAGAGAAAGAGAGAAAGAAGAAGAAGTGAAAAATGGAGGCAAAAAGAAGAGGTGGGTGGGTGCTGGAGAGGAATAACTAGGGTGTTTTTGGTTGTTTGTTGGTTGTCCCCTGGTTACAAGCCTTTTATAGCCTCCCTACTATACCAGGGACCCCCCCCCCCCACACACACACACACACCCTCCTGACAGACAGATAGTGTTACGAGATGCCCACACTATTCGTGGCCACTCACTCCTAAGGAGGACAAGAAACAAAAAAAATAAATAAGAGGAATTCAGAGTTGGATTGTGCATAAAGGAGCAGATAAGCATCAGGAGCAGGTGTCCTCATGGTGTCCTCCCTCCCCCTACAATGTTGGCTTGGCATCATGGGGCCACCCCCCCCCCCCCCCCCCCCAAAAAACAACAAAGTCCAAACATCCCACTGTTTTTCTCCATTTTTATTTATTTATTTTTGTTCAGAGGAAAGCGTTTGAAATCCTAAAGAGAGCATCCTCATCCGAACACAGTTCGAACGCAACGGTTATTGAGAACTCTTCATCACCGGTATTCCCAGGAAGGATGGATGCAAGTCTACAGAAAGCGGGGGGGAGGGGGGCACCTTAGCTCTTTAAATGGCATCATGTGATATGGATTCTTTTTTTCTTCTTCTTCTTTCTCTTTCTCACCCAGAACTTTTTCTTTCCTTCCTCTCCCTCTTTTCTTTTTTGGTTAAGACGAGCGAGGGATTATCGGTACACCTTCCCTCCCTCCCTCCTCCTGGCCAAGCTGCGCAGGATTTAGGCAGATTTACTTCAGCAAACACCTTTGGACACTGGGGGTGGGGGGAGGTGGGGGGGTAAGGAGTCTGTTTGCAAAAGGGGCCTTTTGTTTCCAAGGGGTTCTGGATAAAGCCTTACCAGGCAGCCCGTGATATTAACCCATGCTTTGGAGAGATGGGGTGGAGGTGCTCGCTATAGGGGGGGTTAACTCTTAACTGCCTGACTATCTGTCTGGGTGCTGTTTGAAATTTTGGGACATTTTCGTTTTAAAGGGATGCATCAGTTTTGGAAAGCTCAGCCACAGAAAGTGCACTTTATATAAGGAGGGGGGTGCACACATGCACTGCAACTGCCAAGAGAAGGATGAAAGCTGCGATCCGTTGCCTGACTAACACCGAGGCATGAATCAGCCACTAGTGAGCCAACACTGACTTCCCTTTATGTTCAAACCACAACAGCCGAGGGATCGTCCAAAACAACGTGGTGACACGGGTCTTTGTGTTTGTTGTTATGAAGGAGAGCAGTGAGGAGTGAAAGTTCTAGTTTTCTTTCTTTGTTCTGAGCTGTTGAAGTTCTCCCTGAAGAGTCAGGTCGGTGGGACGATGCTATACGGTGGGGAGAGCGTTCAGTTCACGATTGGACAGTTCGTGTTAGAAAGTTGCAAAGCTTCCCTGACTTTTGTCACGCTTTTTTGTTTGTTTTCTCGTTTCCACTTTTTGTGAATCCTACAAAAAAAAAAAAATGAATAAACGCAATCAGACATTGAAACTTCACTGGTCTGATAAATAAGCGCACGCATTTGGACTTTTCGTTTTACCCTAAGCCGACATGTTTTATGCATTGCGTTGTAGGAAAGTGCATTTTCTTCTCGAAGAAGAAGAAGAAAAAATGATGCCTCATTTGAGTCCTTCTCGAGTGAAAACGCAAAGTCTTTATTTGGCCCATCCATTCCGCCTCGTCCTGCTGTTTGCACTTATTCATTTGCGGCGCCGCGTCTTGCCTGTGATTTTTCCGATATTTTCCGCGAGTCGACTTTTTTCCCCATTTGCGCCGGAGCCATGGGCGCGACAGGCGACAGGTTGCTGAGCAGGTGTAAACTAACGTTCAGATTTCATAATTAAATGTTGATGACGAAGAGGAGAAGTAGGGAAGAGTGGGGGGAAGGGGGGAGGCAGAAGAAACAACTTTACAAACACCTTCTTTTCCAGAACAATGGTACGTGTATACACGTTTTG